AAGAAATTTAAGCTGCTTTAATGTCGACCGACCGTCATTAGCCTTATCTCTTCAATCCCACTGAAAGAGTTGGCAACTAATCTGTGTGAACGTCATTTTAATGAATGCGAAAAGTTTGCGTATAATTTTCTTATGGATCCCACTCATCCACCGCACACATATTTCCTTTCCTGTCGTTCTCATCAGTCGCTTTTTTAAAATGGAGTTGGAGTTTGATAATCTTTATGCAACGCCCTCTGGTCTCGTTCCCTCGTCAGCTTTGTAGTTGGAAAAGCTGAAATCAACCGTAAGCAGACTGTGAAATTAAAGACAAGTGAACTAGTGACACTGGAACCTCTCAAATGACTCAGAGGCCTCTAGAAAAATAGGGAAATCATGATATCCCTATTTTTCTAGAGGGCGGGGATCATGCTTCTGAACTGAACTCATTATATACAAAAGATGAATGACAGGTCGAAAGTCACAAAACAACGGAAAAGGATAAAACCGCTCAAATAGCGGTTGCGTTATCTATGATACTGAGATGTTCAAAACAAAATGGATTCACCAATGCGATCACTTTCGAACGGATTCGGCCAACTGGGACAACGGTTCCCAGACTGTACAGCTTGCCGAAGGGGTACCCTTGCGACCGACTCTAGATATGTGCAGTTCATCGCGCTTCGAAAGTGGTTGGTTAATTTGCTAGAGCCCGTAAGAATTGGATTAGCGAAACACAGCGTACGAGACACATTCACCTTTGTGAACAGCATTCGTGACTTACACTTGATGGGTCGGACAATGCTTTCACTGGACGTTAGCTCGCTCTTCATCAATGTTCCAATCAGCGAAACCATCGAGTACCTACGTAGTTATGTACAAAGTAACAAAGTAGCGATACGCCTTCCTTTGGAAGACCTGAAATTACTGCTTTATTTTTGCACCTACAACGTCCATTTCAAGTTCAACGAGCAGATTTATCGACAAAAGGATGGGGTGGCTATGAGATCACCTCTAGGACCGTTGTTTGCCGATATGTTCATGGCGAAACTCGAAAATAGCCAACTCAAATCTATCATTCAGGATTGTGTTTTATATACACGATATGTGGGTGATATTCTGTGCGTGATCAATACAAAATTAGGAACAAATGAGCTATTGAGGAAGTTCAATGCTACTCACCAGAGTGATGGGTCTGATGACTCGGTGCAACGATGAGTACATAGGAGGGGCCAATATATTCATTTTCGCAGCTTTGTACCGCTCAAAGTGAAGAGGGATTTAGTGCTCTGCCCAGCAGACAGGGCAAGGTAGATTTGTAGTGAGGAAACTATCTTCACACACAATGGCCATCCGGAACGATTGGTTAGCAAGATGATTCAATGCAGTGGAGATATTGTGAAGAAGACCGAGGTCAGAAAGAAGGTGGTATACATTGCCTTTCCGTTCAAGGGGGAGACCTCAGCAAGGTAATACAAAGGAGCCTATCCGATGCTATTAATACGACATTCTATTCAGCAAAGCTCAATGGTTCGTCCACTCCCCAGCCAATTATCTGTTTACTACTAAGGGACAAAATGTCGGATTCTGCCGTCTCATTTTGTGTGTACTCATTTATGTGTTCCTGTGGAACAACATACATAGGCCGCACGGTCAGGCGTTTGTTCGAACGAATCCGTGAACATCACCCCGCATGGCTGAACACAAGAACGATTAAGTCACTCACTAAAGCAGTGGTTTCATACCTAGTTGAAGAAAATCACGCTGTGAATGTGACCGAGGTATTCCGTCTCCTGTATTGGGTTTGTGGTCGATTATCAGGGCAGGTTTGCTGTCGTATGCTGACCACAGCGGAAGCGGTAGGAATTGGTCTACACAACCTCCCTCTGTGTGCCCAAAATAATTGATGC